AAATGCCCAAAATGTAAAACCAATATTTGGTTCCGTGTTATTTTTACTGCTAACTTTACACCATACAGTATAAGCGCACTGACAGCCAAAGAAATCTTAAGATGACTTATAACAGCAGAAAACAGCAGCAGCTGACCATGACCGTATACCACATTGGGTGCATCGCTGCCTCCTTCTGGACTGAGAGAGACGCCCATGAGAAGCTACAGCTATGCAAACTGTAAAATGCAAATGCAGCAAAAAGTAGAGCATTGCTTTTTGATATTTCAGAATGAATAACTTTACATAACTCATTAGGGGTTTCAACAAATATGCAGGCTTACATGAAAATCTTAACCTGACAAGAGACAAGACTTAGCTCCTCAATAAAAGGATCACTTTTAAATCAGTTAAAAAAAAAACTTATATCCCTCACAATTATGACAGAATATTTTAAACAAAATTTAAATAATAAGCTGCATATTACAGCAGATAGATGACAGCCCGCACGGAGGTCCTATCCAAACTTATGTATATGTGTTCAGCACCTGTGCATGAGAAGAACAACAAATCCACAAATCATCCTTCCAGGTCTCTTGTTTTGGTGATTGATTATTCAGGCCTGGTTTGGGACTACACACTGATTACTGCACAAGCAGGTTGGGGAACAAGAGTTCAATCTTTAATACCCAATAAACCATGATGAAAATTACAACCAGGACAATCTATGTTTATACACACACAGGTAAAGCATGTTGTATGAAATATTAATGCCTCACCCATAGCCCCTCTGAGGTTGATTATTTAGCACAAGCCTCCTATCGGCATATGCTAATAAATAGATGACATCCCCATGTCAGAAGCAGTCCGTTCAAATTGCTTACTGAATTAAAAATTTATAAAGCTCGTAACCCTCATGTATGGAATCATGTATCCGGCACGTTGATAGCTATATTTTATCCCCACAGGACCCTGGGGACGAGGATGGCTGGATGTTGGTGCCACAGCGAGGGTGACGGATGCTGTTATTCCATAAATTAATGGAAAAAAGAGGTGACCCTGGTACTATGCTGCAGGGGCTGAAGTACAGTTTGATTGTGTGGATATTTTCATCAGCGCAGTGTTGGCTGCCTGTTGACTTACGCATTTTGATGAACAGGAAAAGTCAGAAAGTCCTGTGGTGATCAAAAACTTGCCCATAGCTGTGGATGAAAAAGAGGCCGATACATAACAGTATGTGATCTGTTTACTGTTGCTATGTACATGAACCAGGAGTAATTATAGTAGAAGTCTGATCAGGATAAATAAAAAACGCATCATGGGAACATTGATTTCATTAAACATATCCAGTCTATTGATGTCAAGAGAAGACTTGAATCAAGATTGTTGTTTGCCTCTTGGTCAGATTTGGCGATTTCAGAGCATAGAGAAACCTCACTGTAGGTTACCATTATACCACTGCAAGAGGGTTAATAGTTATATCATGCCTGATAAATTTTTCTAGCTGCCTCTGGCCTCAGAAGATGCTCTATGGCCAGACGAGCAATGTTGGTTTTACGAGACATGATAGACTGATAACACATTATTGCTACTGACTGGTCCGGCCAACTTAAATGGATATTTTCAACTGTTTCTGTGATGTTAGGTAGATAGAAAATATTCAAAAATACAGCATGATACCAGGTTGAAAAGGAAGGGGGAAAATATCTGTATACATTGTTATTGTTTTGATAGAGTGGCACTGTTATGATGGGTCACTAAGCGATGTATCTCTGTATGCTTTTAGTTGTGATTCTTGTATTACAATGAAAAGAGGTTACATTTCAAGGGTGTCAGTTTGCTTTAAGTTGGCAAACATCATCCCCCTGTTTATCCACTGTAGATGAAGTACTGTATGTCCTGCTGAGTTTGCTTGTTGTTTATAGAGAGCAGCAGAAACATAAATATGTGTTGCTGTAAGTGAAAGGGAGAAAAGACACATGCAAAAGAGGAGAAATAAGAGTTACAGGGCAGGGGCCGATGATGGCGCAATATTTGGAGATCATAGACTACACACTTTCTCCAAAAGTGATCACTGACTGGTTGCAGGATAAGTCATAAGCCCCTCCTCCTCTCATCATAACCAATCAAACAAGGGTCAAACTTTAAGATTAAATCTCACCTGGTGCTTGGTGTCTGTCTTTACAGTGATTTTTTTCATTCTGACTCATGTCCACATGCTCATTTTCTGAGAAGTTTACTTTTTATCACAGCATTGCCCCAAGAGAAAGACTGTCTCTTTTCTTCAAAATATGTCTGTGAAAACTGGATCATCTTATATCTAGGTTTGGTACTTATTGGAGTCCACACCTTCGCAAATGACATGTAATTGTTACGTTTACAACATCAGCTCTAAAATAAACTGCTAAAATGTACTGAATTATGGTAAAATCCACTCACTTTTTGAGACCAACAGCTTTCACAAGAATGACTTGGCATTTTTCTGTGAGATCCAGAGGGTTCTCCATACCGCTGAGAGGGTCAGTGTATTTTCAGAGACTGTCTGGATTGAATCCCTTCATGAAATGTTAAACAATAAAATTCTTTTGGATTGCACAACTTTTCAAAATAAAAGCTTGACCTGTTTTCGTATGTGGAGAGACTGCCCATCTCCTCATTGCATGAGCGTTTCTGAAGTTTTGCCCGGTTATTTGGCTAGTTACAAATGTCTTTATTAATGTCTCTACTTAACTTTTTTAAATCAACTTTTTAAGAGTACCTGAAGTTGAACACTTCTCTCTCCATCTAAACCAATGTCTGGCTGTGGGCTGTAGCTGCAGCTTTAATTTACAGAGCTTCATTTTCTGGATATACAGTAAAGGTCATTATGAGACTTTTGACTCTAACAAACTGTTTTATAAAAGCTTCATATTTCACTAAAAACTGCTATTTTACATCTTTTAGAGTTGCTGAAAGAACTCATGCGCCTGGAAAAATTTTAATTAAACTGAATCTCAAAGATTTCACTGCCTGTCTATTAATTGCTGGGTTATATTGCGAATACCATTCCTATTGTGAAGTATTACCTATATTATTATCTTTGGGGAAACAGACACAGCAAAATGCGGACCAGAGTGAGATTCATTGCAGTGCCACAACAATAAAACACATCTTGCACAACTCCTCGCTGGTATATATTACTAATTCATAAAACATAGTGTAGAGAGAAAGAGTTGTGTGACAGTTTTAATCCGGTGAAGGACAAAGGAAAAAAAGTTTGGGTGAAGGGGTACAAGAACTTGACATAAGGTATGTCTCTTGGGGTTTTCAATGCTTATGTATTAGAAGAGCATCGTGCTGACTGCTGCTAATTCCTCATTTTTATTGCTTAGGTAAAGTGTATGAAGGTGATTTTGGAAGGGCCCAGCATCACATTGCATGATATGTCGGTACTATAAGACTTGAGCTTGTATTTTTTTATGATTTGGATGTCTCACCTGGCTGTCGTTGGCTTGTCCGTGCTCGTTCACTCACTGTGTCATCATTCTGTCCCTTGTCTTTTCAGACACACACAGATACACACGCCTGCCTCCTCCTCCTGCTCCTCTCCTTGCTCTCCTCTGGTTGATAGTTTGTCACATGCTTTGAAGATACAGCGGTGCACCGGCTGCAACTTACCTATTCCACCAAACTTAACACTGATCCAAGCTGCTTATGATGAAGTGTAAGTGAGAGCTGTTTCAGGGGAGGGGCCACGCCTTCATTCTGCAATTAGGGAAGAGCGGGTGGGTGTGTCTTATTCAACATAGGGGACATAATTGGGACAACACAGTCAGCAGCGCAATAAAGTTTAGTCTCAAATGTCACATTTTTAGCATCATGGGGTGCCATAATCGTAATCCCAACTGAAATGTTATTGATTGCCCAGGTCTATATTCTGGCCTGCTTACTTTAAGATGCACAACACTTTACTGAAATTATAACATCTGAACAATGGGCCTCATCACCAGCATCTTCTTTACATTTTTCTTGAATACATCCTTGAGAAATTTTCTAAAAGAAGCCATAAACATTCCTATACAGCAGACTTGTTCACACGTGTGTTCATAAAGTAATAGATGCCCTGTTCTCATAACTTTGAAAGTGTCCTCAATGTCCCCAATTAGCATCAATACGTGTGTCTTACTGCTTATATGAGGGAATGAGGCTGTGGAGTCATGTGTTCATGCATCATGAAGGGGGAAAAAAGCAAGAGAGAGACTTTAGAAGTCAAAATTTCTTATTTTAATGAAGTTGCACACTAGACTTCAAGTAAAAAAAATATTTCGGTCAGTCTTGATTGGAGACAGTTCTGCTGAGAGGCGTTCTGATTTTATTTTATTTTATTAAGTAGCACCAGCAGTTGTTATAAAAACACATACAATAGATAGTGTCAGAGAGAACAGACATGCACAGAGGAGAAGCTCTGAGCATAGTCAAAAATTATTACTATTTGTCAATTTATTTATTCCAACTTTATTTGTTTTAAATTTCTCAGTGCATATGACAGATTTGTCTTTAAATTGTTGTGTGTAAAGATACATTATCCTTGGTTTGTGTTCATTACTTTTTAAATGTTATCTTCTTATTTAATCTTGTGCATAATAGTTTCATATTTTATGCTTGATGCTTAATAGAATAAACTGATTCTGAGCTTATTTTTACTATCACTTTAGTGTTTAGTACATATTTATAGTGAAACATTTTAAAGTTCAGGCCAAACATTGGTGCAATCAAAGGTGCTAAATACAGGGAAAAAAACATATCCAATATTTTTGCAAAACTCAAATGTGCATGTTAGAAGAAGAACAGATCCCAGGTAAGAAACCATCAGTGAAAGGAATCTTCTCAGAAACTGCAGAAGTAGGTACAAAAAACAAGTTTCTGCAGTTGCTGATTGAAGCCCAAAGCTGTTGCATTGAGGAATTTTCCACTCTTTAAATTAGATTCAACTGGTCAAACAACAACACCAAACAGGCCCATTATTTGTTATTCCAAAAACACAGAGGAGGGCTATGAGACTAAAATCTGCTCAGAAAACTCAAAAGCAAAGTGGTTATGGTCTCCCACAAAGAGCCTTAACACATCAGGTGGAGTCTGGATGATGAAAGTCGATTTTAAAGTTGATGTGATTCACTTTCCTGCATGTTCACCCGACAGCTGCAAGACGTCAGTATCAGAGCTGTGATAAAACAAATAACTGATCTCAGCGCAGCCACGCAGGAGGGTCACCTAAAGCAGTGTTGGTGAATGCTGCCATCATGTGGTGATTCCATGAAATCAATGCCAGTCAGTATTTCCACAGTTAAGAAGAGAGAGCGTAAATGCTTTTGTTCATCTTTCATTTGAATAGTGTCATCAATACAGAACTTCAGACTAAATCAGCTGCAGTCAGACATTAATACAGCCTCGGTGGATCCTGGCTGTCCTCTCCTTACAAACTGAATCAGTCAACTCCATGCCAAGATCAGGATACAGGATTTTAAATAAATAAACATTTAAATATGTTAAAATTCTAAATGTTGAGTGTTCAAAATGTGTTCATTGCTTACAGGTGTTTGGGATTGTGGTAACAGAGCAAATTCATGACAATTCTAGTCACAGTGATTTTACATAAATATTTCTCCACATCCTGGGAACTGCAGGGGTGTGTCCACATGGGGGCTAGAGGCCCCATTTGAAAGTTCCTCTCCAAAATTATGGACTATAATTGCCATTTACTTTGTCAGAGGCTTGTATTAAATTTTTTTTATAAGGACTGTTACAGCAGGCTGCCGGCGGCCTTCTTTGCATTTAAATGTTGCACATTGTTGCAAGCATATTTCCTTTTGCCGGTACTTTAATTGTAGAAAAATACAATACACACGTCAGTTTTATAAGACAGGTATGTAGGAGAGGAATCACTCAACTTTCTAACTTTAAAAATCCATTTATTCACAATACTGAATCTTCTCCATAAATTGATTTTTTTTAAGGTAGGACTTTATGCAGGAGTTTAAATTTTGATTTAGAACAAAAATCCTTTGTCTTTAGTCCTAAAGGAATAAAACTTTGATGTGAGTGCAGCTACTCTGATGTAAGTAAACAGTTATGCAAGGCACGTCTTTAAATTCCATGTTGTGTCTTGGGATACTTCATTTTAATTTTTGAATCTTTTCTTATTCTTATTTTCTTTTTTCATTATTTTATTTACCAACTGTATTTTATTCTGTACACTAAAGTTAATGTAAAATTTTGAATAGAGCCAAAACATAAGAAAATGGCATCTCAAGACCTAAAATACTGTCTGAATGATCAACATGCTTTTACAGTGACTTGATTCAATACAAGGATAGTAGGCTATCATCGTGTAGGCTGTCAAACGTTGTAACTTTGACATTGTAACTCAAAAGGATAAATATATAGATACAGATATAGAAATATTTTTTTTGTACACTGAGCTTATATGAGAAACTTGTCAATACTAAGTGCATTACAGGAGGTTTTGGTCAGATCTTCCCCTACCACTACAGACAGGACCATGTAATCTTTCTTATTTTTTATTTTATTTTTTGAATGAAATTTTTATTGAAAGTCTTAAATGCAAGTGTGAGCGTAGTTTACATAATATCTGTCTATTTTTCAGTGCATTGCCATCAGAAAGCCCGTTTGTTTTGGTAGACATGACAGGTATAGGTGTTCCCAGAGGCGTGTCCAGACTCTTTGACTGGCGTGACCCACCCAGGGCACTGACTGAAGTCCAAGTTCCACAGGAATTGTGTCATGGCATCAATGCGGCACACTTCAGAGCTAGTTCATGCCTGTCCTAATACATGTTCATACCTAAGGAAGGAACACGGAGGTGTCTCCTCACTTTGCTCTATTCAGCACGCATCAAGCTGATACAGAGAAATCTTGGACAGGGAGTCAGACATGGGAGCAACATGTAACAGCCAGTTAATTTCAGAACAAAACACCATGTACAGATTCCTGACTGAAGAATAGGTCAGATAGTTAAGAAACATTTTTTGATGAAGGATGTGTTGAAACAGCTATCCTCTCATGATACTTTGGCTTTTAGGTGTTAACTTTGCGGGTATGAGCACAACAAAATAGAACATTTTGCACGATTTAATAAGAAGACTATAGATATGTGGTTCACTTAGTATGGTAAAAGTACAAAAGTCACCAAATGACCAACAAATCAACTGCAGAATAGCAAAGTGACCTGTAGTTCATATGTTACACTCTGCAGCTGTTCTGGGCTGCAGTAGCTTAGGCGGTATAGTGATCGTCCAACAAGTGGAAGGTTGGTGGTTCAATTCCCCCCTATCCCTGGTCTGTCTGTTGTGTCCTTGGGCAAGACACTTAACCCACCTTGATCCCAGTGTGTGTCCTCTGCTTGTGATTGATGTTTAGTGGTGGTCGGAGAGGCCGTGCGCACAGATTGGCAGCCATGTTTCCATTAGTCTGCCCCAGGGCAGCTGTAACTACCAAGGTAGTTTACCACCACAGGGGTTAGAGGTTATGTATGAATGATGTATCCAATGTAAAGTTCTTTGAGGGTCACTGATAAAGCACTGGATAAAATCTGATGTATTTTAGGTGTATGTACTATTATGGACCCCACAAGTCAGGCAGGGGTGGCTGAGGTACTGTATGTGTACGCACACTAGTTTGTAGCGTTTACCCTTTCTGCCTTCCCCTTCTGTTTTAAAATCTATGGTTTCATTATTTCATAACACTGCTGTGTTTCTCTTTGAAGCCAAAAATTATGAGCAGAGTGGAAACATACAGTTCATCTCTTCTGAGCTTTATTCTTTCAGGACTTGAAAAGAAGTTCGTTCAAAGTCATGATTTAGGGCACTAACATGAGAAATTTGTGCTACACTGAACATACAAAAAAAGCCTTCAGCCAGCCTGTTATAACACAGCACAGATGGGTGCTTTTGGTATAAGTCTTGTTTCAATCACTGCAAAATGGTAACTGAAGATTTGGGGTTGGTTAATCAGATTTCAAGGTGGGGCAGAGCCACCCGTTAGCACCCCTTTCGATGCACCCCTAGTTTCTCCATCCACATTTGCATTTTTAAAATATTTGGAAAAAAAAACATTCAGCTACACACAAAATGACACCAATCAGCTTTAAACACAGTAGTTAGAGGACAATAAGATAATTTATTATTAATAATAATAATAGCTTTATTTATATAGCACCAGTGGTGGACAGCAATGAAGTAAATTTACTTGAGTACTGTCCAAAAGTATCTTAGTGTTTGTGTAAACGTATAACTTTTACTCCACTACATATAAAAGACCAATGCCACAATTTAGCTTCACTACTTTACTACAGTATATTTGCTACTTTGATGAATTATTTTATTGTTTCTAAAATTCAACCTGAAAGACAATAATGCGTACCTTATCTGTGTCTCCATGGTTCAACAGAGTAAACATCACCCAGATTAGGCTGTTCATTTAGTGATAGTAATATGGACCATCACAGAGAAAGTTGATTCTCTACCTAGGTACCCACAGCCACATCTTATGCCCATGTTTTTGGTTTTTGCATTGAAATAAGATTTCTTTATATTCCTAGATATTCACTCTGTTTACCGTGCGCAAACTCCAGAAAATGCTAATAATGTAAATAAACAATATATATGAATGAAATCTTGACTGCATTGATGTATTGTGAAAATATAAGATTTAAAGGATTTTAAGTAGTTTGAATACATCAGTATTTTACAAAGCAGGTGCTCAAGTACTTTAACTCAAGTATTAATTTGACTGAGTGACTTTCTCTTCCACTAGATTGCTATTTGACCAGGAGTATCTACCTTTGGACTCAAGCAATGAAGTAGCTTGTAGCTCGTCCACCACTGTATAGCACCTTGAAAGATAGGGTTTTACAAAGTGCTCAGACATTCAAGCAAAACACAAAAATTACTAATCCAACCTACAAAGAAGACCCACCAACAAATACTTAATGCAACAGACAAATCCAAGAAAAAGATAAGAAAGATGATGAGATTTACAAGACACTTTTTCTCCTCTCTACATCTCTGTAGCACGATGGTCAAAAGACATTTAAATCATCAAAAAGGTGTTTGAGGCTAGAGCATAAGGAAATAATACTGTATCAATGGATTTTGACTAAATGTCCCACAATGTACTTAATTATTTGAAGGTGAGTTCAGTCAGGACCACTTTCATCAAAATTAAGAGAATATTTGCATGCAGTAGGTTCTAATAGGCAGAAAGGCTTTGTTCTGAGAGCTCCCTGCCCTTCCATGTGCATATGCGGAATGCCAAAACCTGGTGCAGGCAGAGCAGCAGCAAAGACACCCATCGGTGACTGTACATCTAACACCGGTAAAATCAAAGATAGAGAAACAGGAGGAGCTGGATTGGAGGCAGAATTAAGAAGGAAGTAGGGGAGTAGGCAGTTTATTAGAACAGCCATTCTGACATTTGTCAGTTAGATGTATGGGAGTTTATCAGCTGGGCTATCAGCTGATATGGGGTGAGATTGAGCTCAGCTGATCTACTGGCTGAGTTTAAGGTCATAGCCTGCCCGAACTAGCACTACACTCAATTAATGTTTCTGTCCTGTCATTAAATATTGTTCCATAACATATTTATAATAGATCAGGGTAGTTTTAGACCACTTTTGTCCTTATTTACCTGCTAGTAGATGTAATCTTACTCTTGTCCCGCCTCCTACCTACAGCTCACTCTTTGGCTTAATCAAGTGTCCGTTAAAGGTGATGTAAGAGTCAAACTCATCACTGAAGATGGCGTTCTCCCTCTCCCCTTTAAAGAGTCTGACCCAGACCTGGTCACTGCTCTCCAGATCCAGCATCAGGCTCTGACTCTGCATGATGGAACGGTCACTGGGTTGGGCATAGAGGATCACCACCTCCCGCTCATTGTGCATCACGTGCAAGTACGTCTCCTTCTGGTTCCATGTGTGGACGTTCAGGCTGAAGTAGTAGATACCAGGCACGTAGCAGTAGAACTTACCGGTGAACATGTTGAAGTGACCGTAGAGGTTGACGAGCTCTGTGTCAAAAACCAGAGTCTGGTAGTACTCGTTGGATTGCAGACCCTTTTTGCGAGCAACAGAGAAGGCTGCGAAGTAAGACTTGCAAGGTTCACCAGGAAGGCCCATGCTGCCTTTATTGCCCTTTGCGCCAGCCGGACCTGGAAGACCCGTCTGACCAGCCCTGCCCGATTTACCATAAGGTCCACGTTCTCCTGTATCCCCTTTCTCACCTAAGAGATGCAGGAATAGTCGGGTTCAAGTTTAAGAGATGGACAATAATGCTATTTGCTGCGCAATGGTTGCAGTGTTGTTGTGAAATGCATGACATTATTTTGCCTCACTTGCAGAGGTTTAATGGGTGCAACAGCAACATAATGCAAGGCCTATACAAATATCCAGTGCTTTAAAGGTCTTACCCTTGAGCAGGGTGATGTTGATCTGTGGCACTATGTGGTACTGGGGGTAGTGCTGGTTGGGGTACTGTTGGGGATTCTCCTCTTCCGGGTCACAGCAGCGTCGACACTCCCTCACCTCCCTGCGCCTTTACATACAGTACAACTAAACCCAGGCATTCAACAGGGTCAAACACATGCTTCTGTATTTTTAAATCATATACTACAATTCCCACCCCAATCATTAACATTTTACAGTGTCTCATCTTTTTGGGAAGGTACATACAGTAAATAACATTAACTTTTCTTCTTTTGTCTGTATTTTTAAAATGGAAATAAAACTAACCAGGCAGGCTGGTCAAAAAAGGTACCTGTCATCTTGATGGTAGTCCTGTGGTTGCACTCTGTCCCAGCTAGAATCCCGGTCTTGTCTGTCCTCATAGGGGGTCCTGTAGAGGTCCAGTGGACAGGCCCAGAAGAGCAGCAGAGCCAGCACACAGGCTTTGGTCATCTAAAATACACAAAATCAGAGCTAGGCATAAACCCATATATATTCCAATAAAGCTGCATTGGAATATTTAACTTCCTTTCCTCTCCTCTGAATTAATGCACCATCACAGGCACTGAAAGCACAATTATTTTAGTCATTTTATCACTGCATTCCATATCTGACCAATTTTGTTCTGTTTATTCAGATCAACAGGCAGTAGGTTATGAAGTTAGTCGAGTCATCTTTCTTACCAGCAGTTTTCTAAATCATACTTGGATCATACCCAAAGAGTTCCAAGGTAAGACGGCATATTTAATATGCCGAAGTGAAGCTTTGTTCACTTATCACCTGGCTGTTTAAGATACTTTATTGAGATTGGTCAAGTTTGTTGGCAATAGTTATTTCTTAGCAAGAGCATCATTGAGGACAACCTGATCAAGCACACCAAACACGGATTGGATAATGCCCTCCGTTCTTCTGCTGTTTGACTCAAGTGCACCCAAAATTTTTTCAGACAGGCTGCACAATGTTATTGGCATATATATCAGTATAGTATCATGTTAGTACAGGTGAGCATTCATCATTATAGAATTAATTGTGGTGTCCCCCAGGGGTCTATTGTAGGTCCTACACTTTTTAATCTCTATACCTTACCTGATAATAATCGAGAGGTATGGCATGAACTTCTATTGCTATGCAGATGACACACACTTTTATATTGCCATGTCTCCTGAGGACCCAGAGCCTATTAATTTCTTTTTTTAAACTGGAATTTAGATATTGAGTCGTGAATGGCAGAGACCTTTTTTAAGCTCAACCCACATAAAACTCAGGTTTTAGTCATTGGTACTAGAGCTCAGAGAGAGAAACTGGGTACAAAGCTCAGTCTCTTCCTTTAAACTCATGTCAGCAGGTCAAAAGTCTCAGAGTGATTGTTGAGTCAGACCTTAACTTTAAACCACATGTCAGATTTACTGAAAAAAAAGTATTTTATCGCTTAAAAACATTGTCCAACAGTTAATGTGACAGCTTCTGTCTCAAGCCAATGCAGAGACACTAGGTCATGCTACTATCGTAATGCTCTTTTTTCTTGTCTCCCACATTATACCTATTTTATAGACTGCAATGGCTTCCAGTATCTTTTAGAATTGGTTTTAAGATTCTTTTGTTGGTTTACAAAACTCTGAAAGGAGTCGCTCAACTTTTTTTTTTTGTTTGTTTTTTTGTTTTTCATCAGATTTGCTTTTATCACAAAAGCCTTTGAGCCTTTGAGAGCCCTCAGATCTTCAGGGTGAACAGGACCCTGGCACTAAGCAATACAGAAGACAAAAATGGTCATGGATTTTTCTTTTTTGTGCACTGCTATCTCATGATAATGACTTTGTATCCCGTTATCTTGACATTACAAAGTTTGTTTTCTTGTGATAATGGAAATGGCATTTAAGGCAACCTAAAACGGTAATTTAAAAAAGTGCCCTCCAGAGTGGGACATCTATTAAATGCTGCAGTCAGCCTCCATTGTCAACAGCAAGCTGGGTTTTCCAATGAAATGGCTGATGTCACACTCCATTTTTGCGCATGCACATTACACTTTTAACTGCCATGTGCGAATCAGACGATAATAGTAACAATGGCGCAGACACATTATTTAATAATTTGTTATCACGAGGAAACAATCTTTGTTACATCGAGATAACAAGATAATAAGTTGTTATCGTGAGTGCACAAAAAGAAAAGGATAATCTGTGGCCTTTCTTGTCTTCCATAAATAGTTAAAATGCAATCCCCATACACCTGATCAACACACAGATATCCAAATGTCTCTTTCTGTTTTGGTTGGCTATATAAAAGTTCGTTTGATTGTGACCCTTCTTTTTTTTTTACCGCTGATAAAGATTTTGATGTTCTTCCATCTCTACATGTGTATTCTTGACTTGAAGCCTGTTATCATGACGTGCGACTTCAAAAAATGGTATTGCATGTTGTTCAGTCATGTATGAATGATGCCTGGCTGCAGGTGTGTGTGTCTTATGAGGAGATCAGACTCTGAGAGGCGAACGCATGAGCTTAACTGCAGATTTAAATCTACCGTGTAAACCCACGTCTTTGAACTTCACCTTTTCAAACCCTAAAAGATAGAAACCCCTCCACATGGTCACACACATTAACACATACACTGTCTGCAACGTAATGAGAGATATGAAATACTTTAAACTTTATCAACAGCATGCCTGCTCAATGTTCAACCAACTGTTATTCACAACAGAAAGCTTTTAATCCTATCTGGAGCCAGTGTCATTCAAACAAATACCAGACTGAATAATCCCAGCAACATGAGCAGCCACCCTATGTTTGATTTAACACTGAAGCTATGGTTTTAAAAAAAGCAACATGATATCTACTAGATTAAATCATACAATGGCCTGACTGCATTACAGACACATGTGTAGTTGAAAATAGTAGCTTCTGTAACAACAATGCAGCAGCCTGCATATCCTCCACCTAAGACCTGGTTTATGCTCTAAACAGAGGGACAGTGTGCTCTCCCTGCCACATGTGCATGAGGAAGGGAAGAGGGAAGAAGACCCGTACTGCCAAATAAAACTTATTGCATATTAAAAGTGGTCCTGTTTAGACTACCATTAATATATAAATGAAAAAGCTACTCAATATTTTTAACATTTTTTTGTCATATTGTGCTTTTTGTACGGCCCCTCTGTCCTTACGTCACAGCTGGCTGTACACAGAGATCATTGTATAAGCAGTTCAGCTTGCAGGACAGCCAGTCCTAATGAATATCAGGTTGTAGCTCACTGTTTACCTCACTGTGGTATGAAAGAGGAGTCAGATTTGTAGAAGCAATGTTCCACTGATGAATTATTAACCCTGGAAGGCTGAATCTCTAAATATATATCTTACTCTCTTGTTGTAATCTCACCTTGCGCATGCATGTTCTTTTCCACTTCATGTTAGTTCACCTGTCAGATAGTAGATGTTTTTAAAGCAGCTGGCAATTATACAGTTGATTGAATGCATGTGCTTTTTTTTCACTTTTAATTTTTTTTTGGTCTGTTGAAATGGAAAATGTAGTGAAGTACAATCCTGCACAGAGAAAATACTTAAGTATAGATAAAGATATTCGTTTTTAAAAAATACCCAAAAGGTCAAAAGTGGTAAAAGCTCCTTTGAGGAAGGTTTTTTTTTTCTGGTTATAAAACAGACTGTTATTCTTTATATGAGCAAGAAAAGCTAGCATACTTGACTGCTGTAAAAAAGCAGGGTAAGATTTTTTTTTTGTTATAAACCAGCAATCAGATAAGAGAACTCTGCTTTTGCTCAGCGTGCAGTAGTAGGCTTAAATTATGGGCTGCCATCTCTGACACAAACACCTATAAAACAAAGTATTAGGTCACTGGTCTTTTTCTCTCTCTCACTTCAATTTCTTTAGCCTTAGAAAACAAGCAGAACAACAAAAAAGGAAGCATCAATGCAGAGAGGGTGGTAGTTACAGATTGAGGTGAAATCAAACTTTGTGATACGCATGCTAGTTTCTTTAGAGTCCTTCTATTTATGAGGTGAAAATAAGAATCAAACTACAGAATGTGTTCACTTTCGTCACTCAGATGGTATATACAGAAGTTATTGCAAAGTATACATTTCCTGAGCTGAGAGATATTTTTGTCCATAATCACAATTGTTTAAACTTGTAAAAACTACACGCTAACTTTTGCACACTTTAACAGATGAACACAGACTGACAGAGCCACTAACTACCAAGAGGGTTTGATGTTGATCATCATTTGTTTATTAATTAACAGTAAACACAGAAGACTACTATCATCGCCTCTTTAATAGAATGTGCAAATATGGGTTGCAATCACAATTCAGAAACAAAGACAATGATTATTCAAGTTGACTGTCTCCAATCAACCAGTGAGACACAGTCAATCAGCTGGGGATCCACAAAGCTAAAATGAGGTTAAATCATGCAGCTTCATTCCTGCATGCACTGACTTAACTTAAAGTCAACTTCCAACATGCCACCTTTCAGGTACATCAGCAGATTCTTATCTTCAATTCATGATGAAGCAGTTCAAAAAAATCTAAAACTTATTACTGGGTCATCTGTTCAGTGTTCCCTCCAAAATGTTACATAACCCCTCTCTGGTCGGAGCAGGATGGGAGCTTGGTTGTGGAAAAGACAGACAGAAAGAGGGAGAAGGGGGGAGAGATGTTGTCTAAGATTTGTGGATGAGTGGGTGTGTGAATGTTTGGAGCCGTGCCTTATCTGTCACTGCAAGTCTTTACATGCCGGGGTGTACCACAGCTTACGCAATTTTTTTATTAAATTGGTGCGTGCTTGTCCTGAGACGTATTGCACAAGTCCAGCCTGGCAAACATGTACCCTCCTGCACGGGCACCTGGAGTTCAAATAAGGCAGAAAACTCTTTGAAGGATAACAATCGTGAGGGTTTTTCCCTTTAAAAGACTGCATAAAAAAAAAAATAATAAATCCCTGAACAACTAAACATTTGACATACAACTGTGTTTCATCAACGACCAAAAATGCACAGAAAAAGGATGAGCTGAGAGCTGCATTCTCCCTCTATGAGCTTTGTTCATGACACAAGTATGGGAAATACATTATATACCATAAATACTAAATTTTTTCTTGTCAAGACACACTGTATGCATTTAGTCATCCTCCAGCCTACAAACACATGATGTGGGAGCCGAAGAGCCTCTGCATTGTTTCTGTAGCCTACAGACCAGGAAGAGTAGCTATTGCGGCTTTCCCAATAACTTAAAACGTCCTGTTTATTTGGCTGCTTCAAAGAAGCACCCACAGTTCAGTGAGGTTTTGGAGCTTTAATAACACAAAAAAAAAACACTTATACGGTGGCCAATGATTTTCATGCGCACATTAGATATTGTGTGTGTACACTTTGCGACATATATCAAAGCAAACAAAAACATAAAGTGTGTGTCGACAAAAATTACAGCTACCTAGGCTCACCTCTCCACACCAGCGCAGGTGAAACAGCTCCTTATATAACCAACCGGCTTTCAAACACAGTGCCCACGTGACCCGAAACCCAGCGAAACCAATGACAACCAGAGAAAAGTAATTGATAACCGATCAACAAAGCAACATTATGGCTCCTACAGTAACTTCTAAGAGGAAAACTGGATTGACTCCTGTGGTGATGTAATGACAGGAGTCATTTACACAGGTATGAACGCGAATTCAAGCTCAGCTCACGCTTTGACTGATTCTGCTTCATCCCACTCTATTGACAAAGTTTTGAGCCAGACATGCCAACTGCCCTGTCATCGGTTCCAAAAGCAAACACAAATGCCTGTTTCTGTCCCAGCACCAAAAAAAAAAGAAAAAGAAAAAAAGTCTAAATTTTTGTTTTGAACAACACGCTGGCTGTATGGCTATAGTTGTCTTTTGTGCCAACCTCTTAACTACAGACTGCTTTAACAATGAAGGTGGAAAGTATAAAGTTACACACATAAGGCAAGAAAGAGGAAATAACATTTACATGTATTAACTGTCAATCTATCACCTTAGCTGGACTGAAATAATCACAGTTAATCGAACTTCTCACAGTCAGACTAATAAATAGATAATGCAAAGACAGCGTATGGATCAAACTTTGTTTTTGTGTTTTTCCACCTCTGCATCTATCTGCCAGCCAACCAGCACAGCATCTTGTTTTAATAGCATCCCTACCCATTCAGATCAGTGCATGGATAACAATGTTAGAAACAGAGAGCCTTGTTGCACTTCAAAAAGTCTCTTCTCTTTTCATAAACATCTCTACAGATTCACCTGTTTCGATCAGAAAGTTTACGGTGGAGGAAGCCAACATAACAGCCATACTGCTTCCTTCTCATCTTTGTTAAGAGTTTCATTTGCAGGTACCCATCATGTAAGAGCCATGTCTATCAGCAGCTTGCGAGGCACGTGAATTAAGTCGACAATACTGATCATTCAGGCATAAATCTGCACATAGAATTTTTAAGACCGGAAAATCCAATTGTGTTTGAGCTGCAGACAGAAACATCCACACCCATACAAAAACTCTAAATGCATGATTCCCTCCAGACTTTCGCCCAGCTGAGATAACAAGTGGTCACACCCATTAAAACTTGTTTTTGTAAAGCATGAGATTCCTCGGTGACCTACAATAGTCCACAGTTTTCCAGCCAAGGGTTCAACCCCTCTCCAGGCACTTTCCCACAATTCAACAAGATGGTAAAGAAGAGAGTGAAGATTGTTAAACAGCTCCTGAAGGCCAGAGGAGATCCCTTCTGTGCTGTTAACTTTCATCGGTCTGATAAATCCTCAGGCTGAATTTGTGAGCATAGAGCTGACTGAGTCTGGTTTTCACCACATCCGTCAGGAAACTACCGGATGCAGTGTGACCCAAATTGTTTTTATAGCAACAACAAAACGTTCTGTAGGTAAAAATACAAGATAAAAGCACCAATAAAACAGTTTTTGATAGTTTGGGCCAGTGATGCCCTATACACTGATGAATATCAGAAAGAATATTTGAAAAAAAAAATCATCCGCTTGCTAACTTCTCATCTGTGAGGGAAAATAGGACAATATCCGTTTCAAGTCTGGTAGAGGATGGAAGAATGGATGACTTCCCACGCACAGCACCGGTGAAAGTATGTTTTTGATTTATCATTCTCAGACAACTGATTTTCTCCCAACTGGTTCATGAATTTTATTATATGATTTCCAATGGGACAGAATGAGTTGAAATGTTGAGAACTCTTATGCAGATGTTGGGGAGAAAAGACAGAGGTGGTGAAACTGAAAATGTACTGGCCAGAGTTAGTTGAACAACTCCAAGGGAAGACAATTCAGTGCAAGCTCTGGTGGCAAAGTCAACAAGGAAAGACTGCAGCTACAGGACAGTGACATTTTCTATTCAGAGATGCATAGGTGAGCAAGGTGAGAGGTAAAGCAACATGTATGCAACACAGGCTGTATATATTATGGACAACCTGGTTCAGCCTTCCAGCAGTTTACAGATTTGAAGCCAAAAAGCTCTCAGTGTTTCCATTTTTTTCTCCACTTACTGAAACCAACATTGCGTAGTAGCGTTGTACGCACTCCACCACTTGGACATTAGCATTGTATGCATTCAGTGGGAGAGTCCCCAAGAGTCGCTGTAATGATGCTCAGCTCAAACAGCAGATACCCTGGGTGAGCTACACAATCCTCGTAAGCCCATAGGCTGAATCAAGTGTCAATCATAGAAAACATTAATCCCCTAATAACTTTTAAAAATGGAGCTGCACAGAAAAAAGAGGACTACATGTCAGCATCGCAACCAGGGGGAAGAAAATTTTATATTCTGTAAGGTTATAAAATTTAATAAGGTTTGTCCACAGCTTCATAGGGATTGCTCCTCCAGCAATCCCTATGAAGCTTATGATCTTTACTGCAACTCATCACTGAGGGTGCTGTTCTTGAGGGGGCTCCACCCAGGGAGGAGGCAGACGGCGTCTATTCTATATACAGTCTATGGCATGCAATAAGTTACATTTAGTGGAAGCTCCCTGCCCTGTCATGTGCAAATGTACAATGGCAGTAAAGAGCAGGTGTGGTCCTCCCACCAAAGCCTGAGGCAGGGAGAGAAGCAGCAAAGAACAGAGCAAGCACTGGTGACAAAATATATGCCACTTGACTTTAAAAATGTGACACACAGAAAGGGTGAAGCAGTTGGATAAATTTTGGCCAATTTTAACATTTACCAATAAGATGTGTTCAATTTTACCCTAGCTTCTTCCCACTGAGCATTTTTTGGTCTAAAAGAGGTTTAATAGATGTGTAAATGTAGCCGAGACAACTTGTCTAAAATCAGGCTACCACTAGTTAAAAAATGAACGTTTTTTTAGACGTCTTAATGTAGACCAAGTTTAAACTCAGTCTAAATCTGGGCTATATCTATACTACACTATATATTGCTCAGTGGCTATCATAATTATTTTGGTTAAGTAATTGGAGATCAGTTATGCAACTCACATTTGGTTTTTGAAATAAATAGTGATCAAATAATCAGATAAAGTGCAACGTCTAAATTCCATCTAAAAATATACACAACCTAGACAGTTGAAATTGGGTCAAAGAAAAACTAGACATCTATTTCTCAGTGGGTTGCTGCTTGAGTTTGCCAATAATGCTCTAAGCATGGCACGAGTGTGATAAATGAATTCTACCTTTTCATGGAAAACCAGACCCAAAAATCCAAGTTCAATTTAAAGAAATCACCCACCTTGTTGCCTGTCATGTAGGTCATGAAGAGGCATCAATATTAGATTGACATTAGTTCTAACACTCCTTACGGTGGTTTTAAGAATCTGCGGTTTTTGGCACTTCATTACCGGCTTCAATTTTCAGCCCAGGGAGGTTTCTACTGTGGTGGGTTGTTGACATAAAAATGAGTGGGAACCCTCAGGGACAAGCTGGTGCTGAGCCAACTTTGTGCTGTAATCCCACAAAGTGAAAGCAGTCATTATCATCCTTTGTAGCTTTTACAGTATTTGCTCGAAACACTTGTTGCACGGCCTGGAATGAATGAATGAATGAACCTACACATGGTGAAACTCTGAAGAACCGTCAGCATTTCAGGAGTTTGACTTCCTCTTGATGAACAACAGCACTTTGCTGCAGCCAACGCTAATGATGATAAACAGAGACAATCCGGGTTTATTTTTCTTTCTTGCCTTTTACAACTATCATCCTCCTGAGAGGAAGTTCAGGGCATTCAAGGTCTGATATCTGGGAACGGATTGTCCCACACTTGTGAGTGTGTATGTGTTAAGGCATGTATGCTACTAAGTGGAATTCATTTACAAGTGCAGTTTTAATATGTGCATGTGTGTGTGTGGACCGGCTCAACCTTTGCACCTGATGCTGACATGCCTGCCTCTTCTATCACTCACTTGCTTTGACACTCACAGAATTGCATCAACCAAAAAACATTTTCAAAAAAGTTTTTTTGCAAAGAAGAATCTTACTTTTGCTCTTCCAGTCCAGGATTTCTTCTCTGGAAATGAAAAATGCCTTGATTTCCTGTCAGTTTCTGCCCCTGTCTGCTGCAGTCAATCCTTGCTTCCTTTCTGAGGTTGTTTTCCAGTCTCTCCCTCCTCAGGTCATTCTTTTTCTCCTCTAACGCAGATCACACACTGTGTCTGCCAGAAAGTCCTGCTCCTCCAAACAAGTGTGGAGGGGGGAGTGGATAAGAGGAGGAGGAGGAGATAAGGAGGAAATAGTATTGACTGAGATTGAGGAAAGCTAAGCTACAGACTCTGAAGAGGAGGAGCTCCAATCTTAACTCCAACCCATTGAGGGAAATAACAAAAACACAGAAGGGGAAGAAACACATGAGTGGTGGGTGTGGGAAAACAGAGGGGAGAAGAAGAAAGGAAGGAGAGTTTGGAGCAGATGCTTTGTCTCTCACAGCCTCTGTAAACATGAAACAGCTGCTTTCAACAAAGTGTCACTTGAAAAGTTTGGAGCCAGCATGTTTGGTTAGTGTGTTTAGATGTCCCTCATGGCCTTATTACATGAGCAATTAAAATTTTACGACCTTGTTTTATCCATGACAGTGTTACACAATGACAGGGCTTTTGGTAAACATGTTTGGTTGTTTGTTTGGGTTTTTTAACTCACACTCTCTTTGGCTGTACCACCTGCTAACAGATAAGAGACAGGAAACAGCCAAAATATGGGCAATGAGGTTCTGCCTGCACAGTGGCATCCTGGGAGAAGGAATTTCATGCCTTAGCTTAGCATAACCCTGCCATACAGCTTGAAAGCAGAGGACTAATTTTTACAGTTTTTACACACAATGGGCTCAGTACAGAAAAACATGTCAGTTTACATGCCATAGACATCAAAGTATAAATATCTAGGTGTACATCTGGATAATAAGTCAGACTGGTCTAGGAATATGGGCTTCATCTACAGATGCCTGAGAAGACTCCAATCAATAGACATCTGTAGTAAGACGCTGCAGATGTTTTATCAGTCTGTGGTGTCTACAGTGTTCTGTTCCATGCTGCAGTCTGCTGGGGAGGAAGCATCAAACACAAAGATGTAGGACATCTTAACAAACTGGTGAAAAAGGCTGGCTCTGTGGTTGGACTCAAGCTGGACTCAGTGGAGGATGTGGTGAAGAGATCTACACTGAGGAAGGTGGAGTCTATTCTAAAGAACATGGATCACCCACTTCACAACACCTTGATGGACCCAAGGGCCAATGGTGGTGCAGGACAGAAAGATTCAGAAGATCTTTTGTACCAACAGCCATTAGACTTTATAGCTCTTGTGTAAATAGTAGATGACTTTTAGAGACATGACAAATGAGACGACAGACAATTGAATTTCCCTTCGGGGATCAATAAAGTTCTTCTTATCCTTATTTTTATTCTTATGTAACTGATTTGGATTCACCTATAGAAACTTGAGCAGAGCTAACAGGAGCTAATCAGAATTAGAAGAACTTTATTGATCCCCAAAGGGAAATTCAATGATCTGTTGTTTCATTTGTCATGTCTCTAGAGTTATAAAGTCTGATGGCTGTAGGTACAAAAGATCTTCTCAATCTTTCTGTCCTGCAGCGAAGAGAGAGAAGCCATCCACCACCATTGGCCCTTTGGTCCATCAAGGTGTTGTAAAGTGGGTGATCCATGTTCTTTAGAATAGTCTCCACCTTCCTCAGTGTAGATCTCTCCACCACATCCTCCACTCAGTCCAGCTTGAATCTAAATCCAATGTGGCAGCAATACTGGCACATCTGCTGGTTAGTGGGTGTCTCTGTCAGGTTTGAGATGAGGTCTCTGCTCAACAAGACGGAGACTCTGACAACCTGCTAGCTGGTTGGACAATGACAAAATTGGATGATTAGAAAGGGTGCAACATCTGGAATAACAGTCAGGTTAAGTTTGTAGGAGAGCACAGAGCTTTCTACTCTGAAAAAACTGTTTATGCACCTCAAGGAGGACTGCTAAATGTCTGGTCCTGATGCAAGGAGGCAGTAAAAGACACAAGCGACAGAGAACTGGTCCACTCTGCTGTTTATGGACTTAAAAGAACCCTTTATGGACACATTTGATCCAGAAGTATCCATGAGATTCTGGATTAAAGATTCTGAACATTGTCACTAAGAAGGACCAGGATGGAAAGAAGCCAAGCCTCTTTGGTCCACTCTTGTTCATGGTCAGAGAAACTGAATTGTGATACATCTATTGTACTTGAGGTGAAAAGTACAGCAACACATGTGTGTGGCATCTGTAAAGCTCCAGTGTATTTTGTCCTGCTGCCCAGCATATTTGTTGATAGTTAGTGTGGTTGTAGTGGCCCTACGACTACACTGGATTAGGGGGCTAATCCTCCGCCTCTAAAAGAGAGAGAGGGAAAATGAACCTGAGGGGAAAACACCCGTCATCAAATTTCACTGACCAAGATTGAAAGAAAGGGACCTTGAGTGACCTTGGTTCACGTTAAGTTATCTTTTTTTTTTAATCTTTTGTTACATGTGCATGAACATAGATCCTGGACAGAGCATTGAAGTCCAACATCACCAGTTTTAGTTTGAATATATATCTGGATCATTTTCTCGCAGCTGCTAAAACGCCTGCTGGTTTCAAGGGAAAATTGGTCTTACACCAGGGTCTTTGCCCATGCGTCATGCAGGGTCTGCTATGCAGAACTGCTGGGGCCTTATCCATACCTTTGTTTTCCAACACATGCAGCCATCTCTACTATACTACTCGACTGGTTTATAGCACTTTAACGTCTGTACTTTGTTGAAATGTGTTAAATCTCTGACTTTGCAGGAAGTACATGCACACTTTGGTTTCGCTGTGCTTCGGATATGCTGCTGTTAGTTCAGCAGATGCCATATTCCAGTTGTTTTACATTAAGTTCGTCTGCAAGTATGAAAATGTTGCAGGAATAAGACACTGACGTTACTGCACTGCTTGCCAGAGCCAGGGATGTACTGAATGTCTTTCTTGTGAACTGAGTGAATTGAGACAAGGGTTGTTTTTTTTTTAATTAATATGTTGTAGATGTAAGGCTTACTTAAACAAATCAAGCTTTCTGGTTATGTTGAATACAAAAGTTGAAGTTTTACATTTATCCCCAAAATAGCTCAATAACAGTTTTCTCAAGACTGATTATACTGAATTAGCTCTAAATTTCACAAATCTGGAAGTTGCTATAAAAGTTTGAGTTTAATTTAGTGTTTAAAGTGTTGAATTCGTGACTATACGTAATTTTAAAAATCCTCAAAAATACCTGCGGTTCCTTCTGTAGATCATTGTGATCATTGCATGTGGTTGACAGCTCCTCGCAATTAGCTGCATAAGTTCCTGATTAAGAGATTTCTACACAATAAAGTCCCACCCTCATCAGACAGGAAAAACAATCCATGGCTCCCTCTCCTCAGCACTGCATTGTGTGGTACAGTCCTCTCATCTATTTGGTTTTCTAGAAAACAACAGAAAAGTGCCTTAAAGCAGCTTTGTGCGGGGATGTGTTTCTGATGCAGTAAATAACCTGGACGTGACTTTTACCAGCATCAGAAAAAAGCATCAGACATCCGTTCAGAGAAACTTCAGAGATTGATATTAAACTGGAATAAATCTTTTTTTGGATGGGATGAAGATCTTGTGAAGTTATTGAATTGATAGAGTGTTAATTTCCTTCTTTCTGTACCCATCCTGTAAGATTTTAGTGCTACATTTAACAGAACAGACCATCCCACCCTGTGGCAGAGACTACAACCAGTAACATATATAGAGACCAGTGACATTAGAGGGATCATTCTAACTTGGTTAAATCACATCAACCAGACACTCCTCAGTGGGCACACAGTTTGTCATGGAGTTCCACAAGGCTCTGTGCTGGGACAGCTTTTTATTTTTTCCTGTATATATGCCATCTCTTGGTAGTATCTTGAGGATACACACAATCTTGAATTTAAAGGACTTCATGAATCTAAAGTAATCTATGAGGATAAATAATTAGTGTAAAAGCATCAGAGAGAACATGACTTTTACCATTGAGGGTGTTGAAAGGGTTTGAGGTGTGTATTGCTCACAGCACCAAAAAAGACTGTTATGTTAAAAGTGATGTATTCAATCAAGCACTTTTGGAAAGCCAGTAATATAAATATAAAATAATGTGATATAAACTAAGCAGTTACCCCAAGAAAAGGAGGTGTTATCAATGTTTGGAATTGATGATTTTGTTGTTACCTTTAATGGTGAGTTTTTGGTTGATAGTGGTTCGGAGGTATTCGTATCGGAGTCCATTAGATTGCATAGATGGCCATGATGTTGTGGCTGGTTAGTGTTCATTTGTGTATCTTTCAGTAGTCCAGGTTATGCCGCGTGTTTCCATTGTGCTTCTAGATGCTGTCTACAATTTTACACATTTAAAATTAGCAAGGGGTCAGATCCTAACTCTGCTTTCACTATGTGATGCAGTCAGCTAATCAAAATTTCTGACATGCCAGAAACTCATCCAACAAGTGGGTAGCAGCTGAGCAGGTTGTGATTGGCTCTTGTGACCCCTGTACACTTCATCGCAAAGACCATGCAATAAATCTGAATTTCAGTCCAACTTCAAAAGCAGTACAAAAAAAAAAGTCATAATCAGCCTCATTTTACACAGTGCATGCAAAGTCTTTGAAGGCATCAGTCAGCCATCTAGCACCACTATTAGAAATCTATAAGTTCCGTTAAAACAGGGTGGATCTCTCAACAAATAAAGAAACATACAACAAATTTTCCTTTCTACCTTTGCAAAAGTTGACAACCTTAATGATTGCTACTGGTGACTGGAATTTTGGCTCCTTTTTGTTATTTAGAGTCAAAATGGTGCTTCAGTTTGGATGGCTTCATGATCTCATTTGCAAGCACCTCGCTACATATTACACGCTGAGGTTTCTGTCCTTAATTATCCTTGATGAACAAAAATCCATATTTCAAATGGCCTGGGTTGTATTTACGCTTAGCTATCTTATCTCGTCCACAGAACATAAACTGAGAGTAAAATTAATGGTAGTTACCTAGGCAGCTGAGCGCGTGCCTTTCAAAATAAGCTATTTTTCTAGATAAAATATGTCAAACACCAGATGCACATTAAATATTTAATTTTTTGACCAGCTGTTCACAACCCATCCAGAATGTATCCACGACCCACTTTTGAGTCGGGACCCACCAGTTGAGAACCACTTATTTACACTATTTGGCTCTCATAAACCAGCTCTGTGGCTCCCACATGGCTCTTTGAAGGACCATTCTGGCTTTAAACTTCCCACCTCAGCATAGATGTGTGTACAAGCCCCTTCAGTATTAGCATAGCCAGCGTCTTATTCTAGTTCAACACTCATGACTGCTGGATGAAGGTGTGCGGTGATCTTATTTGGCATGTTGCATTTCCACATGTTTTGATAATGTATGGGCTGTTAATCCAGAAGTGGACCAACACAAAGACTTTGTGTTGATATCACACTTTACAACTACATGGAAAGCAGACAATTCACACAGCTTCTGGGTAGTACTAACATCCCCATGAGCAAAATACCAAACCTCAAGTGCTGCAGACAGTCAGTGTGCAGGCCCTATACTCTGACATCTCTCCATTAGTGCATGTCTGTAAGACCTTGTTAGTGCATGTTTGTGAATATTTCAGCAGATGTGTGTACAGCATGTTCAATAACAGAGTGAAGAATTTGAGATTCACTCAGGAATTGACCAAGTATGTCTGAAAAGGGAGTTTTTCCTCATCACTATACTTCTCGCTACATGCTGCACAGAGCGCTGTTCATGGTGGATTAGAGTAAAGATATTGTCTTACTGTTGGGTCTGTCTGAATAATTTAACAGTAAATTAAAGAGCGGCTGTTTTGTTAAGTTTCCTGGGTTTAGATTTGTTATGGACTGTTGATATATAGAAACCAATTAATTGAGTATTGACAGGCAGTATTTTACACCTGGCTATTCTGTAACATCAATTGTGCAAAAAGAATCCAGGTAAATACACTAAAAAAGACCCACAGTTCTGATTCTAGGTACTGTCTCCTCTGTGGTATAAATAGAGTGCTCAATAACTCATCCAACGTGGTGATATCTGGTGGGTTTTGCAATTCACTGACATATTTGTGGCATTTCAGCTTAGCTGCATTTTGCGGCCTTGATTTGTTTGTGGTTTCCAGAGTATAACGCAACACACTTTGACGGATCCTGGGGTTCATAATTCTTTTTATAGGATTTGTTCTTTCGCTGTGCAGCAGTTTTTCACTTGAGATTTAAACTGAACTCAGTCTCGGGCCGGTTTGCATGACCTTATCTGCCAAAAGATCCTTACTTTTTGAGCTTGAAGAGAAGTTTTGTCTACTTTTGAGGGGTGCACATTAAGTTACTGTCCCTGTACAATTTTATATGATGAAAACAACAATTAAAAGTTGTTTTCTTTTAGTATGTGGCGATACACCACTACATACAGAGAAACACAGAGCTGCAAAAAGCTGTCAAGAGAGTACAAAAAGCATAACCGGTGTGGAAGTTTGTCACTGTTTCAAAAGGAGGGTAACACAAGTGACAAACATGTGACATATGAACTCAGAGAGTCTTAAGTTTTAACACTACAAATCTTTAAAGTCAAGTTTGTTTACTGCCCTTTCTGCATGTTTACCTTTGTACAGAGCTAGACTGCTCCTCCAACAAACACACCAGGCTTGACTTTTGTTGGTCTTCACTTTAGTTCCTTCTGTTTTTGATCCTTTCCATAGGTGTCAAAAAGGATGCCTGAAGAATAATACATAGTTCTATCCATATATAATTCTATAACACAAATCAAAATCATATAAAAACACAATACTACAACAATTGTGTGCCAATCTCTCCACTAACTGTGCCTCACAACACTGAGAAAAAAATAACGGACAACAGCCACTAGATGGCAAAAACCAGAAACAAATGTAAGCACTGAAACAATCTTCTCATTAACTTAACCTTTTTTTAAAATCACTTTTTACTCCTTTTAACCCAACACTTTCTGTAAAACTGGTGTATCATTTTTATACTTAAAAGGTAGCACAGCTAAAAGTATATATAATACAGTATAATACAGTCTGTTATTTATGTTATGTCATGTCCTGTGAACTATCTTGTGATATGTCCTACACTCATGACAAATGCTTTTTCTGGTTAAGAAAATACTTGTTGGATCTTGTTGGAAATATTCCCAGTAAAATAAAGGTTGAATAATAATAATAATAATTAACTACCTTGGAGATACAGATGAGATGTATACACTATTTTAATTCCGGCAAATTTATATTACAGCACACGACTGGAATTTGTGGTTGAGCTGCAAACTTAAAGAATTAAGTTAAAGAAACAGGTGTGCTCTGTCCCAGTAAAAATACTGCTGTGGTGGTCGTTGCTCGTGTCCTCCAGGTGGAGGCGCTGCAGGTCAAACTCACACAGCTGCTTTCTCTGTGCAGGTGTGGATAGAAAGGAAGCAGCTTAATCAGAGCTAAAGATCTTTGAACATGTCGAAACTTTGTTGTAGATGCTGTGTGTGTTTATTTGTCCGTGTAAAAAGTCTGAGTCTCGCTGTATCACTCAGGCTGGACTACAGCGTCTATTCACGGGCGCGAACCCACTACTGAGCGGCACGAGGGCTTTGACCTGCTCCGTTTCCGATCTGGGCCGGTTCACCCCTCCTTAGACGACCTGCTGGTTCCGGGCTCCCCCAGGATCAGCATATCGATACCGAACTTAGTGCGGACACCCGATCGACATAGTCCGCTGCAGCTCAGAGCTCCTGAACTCAAACGATCCTCCAGACTCAGCCTCCCGGGGACTTGGATTACAGGCGCGCGCCACCGCACCCGGCGACAGACACGGATCCTGTGTCAGAGAGGTTTACGCACGAGATGTCATCGTGGAGAAACAGCCGGACCCCTGCTGAAGACCACAGACCCAACTGTTTATCAGCTTATACAAACGACTAACCAAAATTTATACAGTCAACTGTAGTGTTTGTACCGGTTACAACATCTTCAACACAACAACTCATCATTCTTGTTTCATCCGCACCTGTACAGAGCAACTGTGTTTGTTTGACCAGCAGCGCCTCCACCTGGTGGGCATGAGCAATGACCATCAGAAGCATAAGAGAAACTCCAACTTTCAGGACCTTATGTCTTTCAGATTTGAATATTTCCTCCATGCTGTGGTTCTTTTTTAAAGTTAAATATTATAAACAGGAAAATAACCTGCTTTGGATACTGTAATGTAAACATTTAATGCAGATTAGTTAAGCACTTGAGGGGTCGGGAGTCCAACTGCAGTCTTCAGTAATCAGGGATGAGTCAGCTGTTTGTTTGTTTGTGTGGTGTTTTTTTTATTTTATTTTATTTTATTATTTAGGGATGGTTTGTAGAGTCACTTGGGAAACCCATTTTGAGAAATGTTGACTGAACAAATATGTGGAGAGTAAAAGTTGTAGCTTCTACATACACCATGCACATGGAGAAAAAGTTTGTAGTTTCAACATCACAGCAGCTTGCCAGGCCAATTTTAGATTCCCTTAAATCACCTGTGTACAATCACTGATGGTCTGATTGGTTTGATAGGCCGATGTGTCCCAGTGGCCTTTGAGCTGGAACAGCTGCTCCAATCAGAAAAACAATTGACTTTACTCAATGTGTTCAAGATAAGCCTCTGGTAGACTCAGGGATGTTTAGGAGCTTTGAACCATTTTTCTTTTGTTTTTGTTTCTCTGAGGAAGGTTTCTTCTGTGCCACTCTAATTTTCTAAATGCTGAAAGGTGCTCTGCTTATGGTAGATAAAGATAAGACTGAGACTTATTATATCAGATGAGAATTAATCTTATCCTACAGTGATGTTGGCATGACATAGAACTGATTTATAACTCCACTTGCATACAGATATGTGAATAAAGATATTAGCGGCATAAAAATATTTAATTTTGTAAAATAATATGGAGATTTTACATGACTTTCCCACTTTACTCTTATTTTTAGAATATTGTATCAGCACACCCAGTACCTTGTACAGACATTTTGGGGGTCAGGTGCTCAGTGAAAAATAAGGTCACTTTATGCAGCATGTTGAACCGATGGCTGCCTTATTATAGCAGTGTAAGATTTAAAAGATAAATAAACATTACAGGTACATTTTGAATGTAATTGCATATTAATCTATGTGAATATCTTTATTAAATTACTTGACCTTTGAACTGGTACAGTTTCACACGATAGCACTGCTCAGTCAATCACTATTGTTTTAGTTCTTTGGAATAAACGCACATGGAGAAGTTTTAAGCAAGTTACAAGCTACAATGATAGATTATCTATCACTATGGTGGATTTAGACAGACATGGAACTTTGTTTTCATTTTAACATATTTATTTTTAACATTTCATTTCTTTGACATACAGCTGATACATCATGCCTTTCTTGTTTGCCCTCATTTTGGTCATCAGACAGCACTTCTGATTCTGTGCATGGACTTGGTGCTGCTATGGACTCTGCTTTATCTGTAGATGACTCTGGAGATTCGTCTATCTGGGCTTCTTTGCTGGTCGTTGGTCGACTGCCTCCCTGCTGTAGCTGTCTAGAATAGAATAATAATAGTTTCAGTAATAGTCTATTTTTCTAAGGTTGAATATAGCCTGTTAAGGTAAATACAAGATGACTGCAAGTCTTTTAACATAGAAATAACTTGTTGGTACAAAATAATATAATGAGCTAAAATAGCTTAATGCCTAATTTAGTACAGCCAAACCACTTTGTGTAGTTTAAATAACGTGTACAGCTTTTAAGATGATTCAGTAAAATTAGAGGAACAACATCTTAGCTTTAAAATGCCTGAAACAGTGAACATGACTCTTGACTCTGACCTTTTATCTTCATCTTCATCTTCCTCCTTGCTGCTGGTGGATGCTTTTATCCAGGAGAGTAGAGAGCTGCTCCCCTGGGCTGTCTGCTGTAGCTCCCTTTCTGTTTCCTTCTTCTCCTCTCCTTTCTAGGCATGATGCTGCAATTGGTAAATAAAAGGAGACAAACAATATGAATAAGACTGTTTGGTTATATTTTAACAAGGCACAGGGCGACTTTTGCCTGTTTGTCATTGAGCAAATAAATTACTGCAAGTGTTAATTATGTTGCCTATTGTAAACCTACACAATAGCCCACTAACTAAATATTCATCTTTAGTAGGTCAATAGTGCGGCACATCAAGACAACAATTGAATGATATAAGACAAATTCATCAAACTTTACTTACTTTATTTCTCCATGTCGTCTTGTTCGTCCAGTCTCCTTCTGCATCACAGGGTTGGTCGTCTTCTTTGGGCTCCTCTGGACTCATTTTGGGTGTTTGACTCTTTGGAGTTACCTGAAAACAAACATGAATTACAGCCCTTCAGTTACTGTGAAAATGTGTTTTTTTTCTTCTTAAAAGACAGCATATTGTACTTATTAACCTTTTAAGTATTGATAGTTATTTACCCTCAAATTTCCAGGAACACTCAGTACCCATCCCCGTCATTCATCTCTCTTAGTGGGCCTGTCTTGCGTAGGTTTGGTCCTCCTGCGTCTTCAGTCTCCTGCTTGGCTCCTCTGGGGGTTTCTTCTCAATGGAGGTCCTTTTCCTAAAGAAAACCAAAATGAAAAAGAGTCCTACACTAACCTTGTTTCATATAAAAAATCACTCTGGAGGAACCAAACTCACCTTTTAGACGGACTTCCGCACTAAGTGAAAAAAATCAAGTAAAAGACAAGACATCACAACACAAACACATGCATGACAACACATTACAAGACACGATGCTAAAATTGCGCCACTACACAAAACATCACAACACAGAACATCAAAATAAATAACCACACAACACAACCAAGGACTTTTAGGGTAATGCCTAATGAGTCCAAGGTGAAGTCGTAATTGAAGCTTCAGGTTTATTTGTTTGTTACGGAGCCAGTGTGAGTGGAGCGAGCGGGAGAGGAGCGAGTGCGAGAGGAGCGAGCGATTCATCGTAAACATCTTAGACTACAACCAGAGGGGTGTATTGGAGGAGGAGAGGAGGAGCTGCAGAGGAGCGAGGGATTCGTGGTCGCGGTCAAGAATCCAAACTTAAAACTAAACTTATCTTAACTTAACTATAACTTAACTTATCTTAACTTAACTATAACCTAACTTAACTATAACTTAACTTATCTTAACTTAACTTAACTATAACCTAACTTAACTATAACTTAACTTAAATATAACTTAACTTATCTTAAGTAAACAACTTAACTTATTCTAACTTAGCAAACTAACTTATCTTATCTTAATATATAAATAAAACTACGGCCCAGCGTGACCCCCAAAAGGACTCTTGGGAGTCACCTTGGACCGGTTTGACCTCAGGCTCAGGAGGGCGCGAAGATTTTTCATCCACTTGGCCTCAGGAGCAGCCGAGATGAGCCGGGTGGATGGAGGGATGGTGGATGGAGGGGGTGTAGGGGTCCTTCATGGGGCCGTCCACCGCTACTTCCTCCTGGAGAGCTCCTCCGGGTCCTCCGGCTGCAGACCCACTTGTCCTCCTCCGTCATCAGCTGGGGCAGGCAGGGGGAGGGGCTGCAGGAAGGTCCTGGCGGGAGAGGAGCAAAAAGAGGGCCAAACAGTGCGGGAGACACAAGTGGGACAAGGGCAATCACCAGAAGAAGAAGAAAAAGAGGAGGAAGAAGAAGAGGAAGAAAAAAAAGAAGAAGAAGAAGAGGAGGAAGAAGAAGAGGAAGAAGAAGAGACACATAGAGGGAAGGGGGAATACCAAGGAGGGGGGAAAGGAGAAGAGACAGGAGGAGGGACAAGAGGAGAGACAGGAGAAAAGGGAATGTGATCGACCTGGTTGTGCTCTGGCGTGGAGAACCATGGAGTGCCGTCCATCCCGAAGTGCACCACCTGAGACAGAAAAACCGACAAATTCAAAAATCTGAACTCGGCAGAAATGGTTTTCTGGTTTTCACATCTTTGAAATAAATTCATGAATACAAGTCAGTTCAAGAAAAATAAAATAAAAGACAAATTCATAAACACATTTCTGTAATTAAAATTATTCAGACCGTAAAAGTTTTGTATGTTGTCTTGAAGGCATGCTAACGGCCTCTCTATGTTGTCAGTGTAATTTCCTACTTACAGCTTGAGGCCTGGGGGGTGGCGAGGGTGTTGCCGGGACCCTCCTGAGCAACAGCTTCGGAATGATAAGAATAATTTCCGAGGTCCATTTGCTGCGTCGGCGGCGGGTCTGAAGACAGAAACAACGCAGACGTTTAAATTAAACAAGCTGTAAATTAAAATTATCCAAACTATAAAAGTTTTGTATGTTGTCTTGAAGGCATGCTAACAGCCTCTCTGTGTTACAGTGTAATTTCCTACTCACACGACGAGGCATGGTAGGGGACGTGGGGGGTGGCGAGGGTGTTGCCGGGACCCTCCTGAGCAACAGCCTGGGAACGGACCTGTACACAAGTTTCGAGGTCCATTTCATGGGTCCGCTGGTCTGAAGACAGAAACAACGCAGACATTTAAATTAAACAAGCTGTAACATTTGACTGTGTGGTCAAGGTCATGAAGGAAGCATCTGTTACATCAGTATCATCAAGAGGAGAAAGTCAATACATTAAACACTACTATTTCAACACTACAATTCATGAATACAAGTGAGTTCAAGAAAATTAAAATAAAGGACAAATTCATAAACACATTTCTGTAATTAAAATTATTCAGATTATAAAGTTTTGTATGTTGTCTTAAAGGCATGCTAACGGCCTCTCTATGTTGTCAGTGTAATTTCCTACTTACAGCTTGAGGCCTGGGGGGGGGCTTGGGTTTTGCCGGGACCCTCCTGCGCACCTGCCTGGGAGCGGACCTCTGCACTGGGGCCGAGGTACATTTGCTGCTGGTCTGAAGACAGAAACAACGCAGACATTTAAATTAAACAAGCTGTAACATTTGACTGTGTGGTCAAGGCCATGAAGGAAGCATCTGTTACATCAGTATCATCAAGAGGAGACAGTCAATACATTTGATTTTGTATTTAGTTTTTAATCAGCAGGTTAGTTGTGCAATAGAAATAAATTAACATCAATGCAACACCCCCTGTTAAGAATTGATCATTTTGGTATGTCTATTTCAGTCATTTTATTTCATTGGGGAAAAGGCTGCATATTTTCAGGATTCAATAAAAAGAAAATTCTCAGTTTTCAGTTTGATAAAAACTGATTTCTACAAAAGGACAGTGTTTCGATTACACTTAAGGTGGGTTTTTCCCTGTTAAAAACATAATGAAGTTTTAAATATTGTGGTAGAAAACACACACTTGATTCATGAAATCATAAAAACACAACAGTTTTAAAGGCTGTACATAATAAATGTGTGTTAACTTAATTCTGTCTGTTTTTGTAACTTTAAATAGGTTTAAATGAGATTCATAGGATTTTTTGGTCACTTAGGCCTATTGAAGCACTTTAAAATAAAAAAAGGTCTAACTATGATGTCTTTTTAGTTCATTTTGTTGAATTTTATGATGACTGACAAATCTTTACACTTTTGAAGGTGCCCCTTATTTCAACACTACAATTCATGAATACAAGTCAGTTCAAGAAAATTAAAATAAAAGACAAATTCATAAACACATTTCTGTAATTGAAATTATTCAGACTATAAAAGTTTTGTATGTTGTCTTAAAGGCATGCTAACAGCCTCTCTATGTTGTCAGTGTAATTTCCTACTTACAGCTTGAGGCCTGGGGGGGGACGTGGGGGAGGGCACGGGTTTTGCCGGGACCCTCCTGCGCACCTGCCTGGGAACGGACCTCTTCACTGGGACCGAGGTACATTTGCTGCTGGTCTGAAGACAGAAACAACACAGACATTTAAATTAAACTAGCTGTAACATTTGACTGTGTGGTCAAGGTCATGAAGGAAGCATCTGTTACATCAGTATCATCAAGAGGAGAAAGGCAATACATTTGATTTTGTATTTAGTTTCTAATCAGCAGGTTAGTTGTGCAATAGAAATAATTAACATTAATGCAACACCCCCTGTTGAATTGATCATTTTGGTATGTCTATTTCAGTCATTTTATTTCATTGGGGAAAAGGCTGCATATTTTCAGGATTCAATAATAAGAAAATCCGCAGTTTTCAGTTTGATAAAAACTGATTTCTACAAAACGACAGTGGTTCGATTACACTTAAGGTGGGTTTTTCCCTGTTAAAACATAATGAGGTTTCAAATATTGTGGTAGAAAACACACACTTGATTCATGAAAACATAAAAACAGATTTATGTGGAACTTTATCAAACTTAATTTTAAAGCCTGTACATAATAAATGTCTGTTAACTTAATTTTGTCTGTTTTTAAATAGATTTACATGTAATTCATAGGATTTTTTTGGTAACTTAGGCCTATTGGAGCACTTTGAAATAAAATAGGTCTAACTTTGATCTATTTTTAGTTAATTTTGTTTGATTTTTTGAAGACTAACATATCTTTAAACTTATGAAGGTGTCCTATATTTTAACACTTCATTTCACTGCTTTAATCCGGTTCTTTCGTTGTAATTAGATTGAAAATAGCTTGTGTTCAGCGTTATTTTTCACCTGATAGCATTGGTTGGTATAAAAGAAACCGTCAAATAAGTTTCAGGCTGACGTCTTTAAAAAGCCAAGAATACAAAAACATCTTTGACGAAAACTAAACTCAGAGATTTCTAACAATAACATGAACTTTTCTGCTCTTAAACATGCAGGACAGGACCACAGCAGGACTTTGGGTTCGTCATACAATGTCAATGCATCACTTTTAAGCTAGCTATTCCCAAAGTCTCGACGATAACAAGTTATCATGATAATATTGTCATTCATTCTTACGGTCTTCATGTCGTCGGTGTTGTCCTCTCTGTTCAGATGTTTGTCCGCTGGAAATCAGTCGTCTGGGGAGGATTTAATCAAGATGGAGCTGTCAAAGCCAAAGCCGTCAAAAGTTGAAAGTTCGTAAGCCACTTCAGTTTTTCGTGCTGTATTCTTCAGATTTGATCTTCAGAATGACCGCTCTCTTTGGCTTGAAATGATTTAAAGTTTTTAACATCGTCACGGGTTACCATGGAGAGTTAAAATGCTGTATACTTTAGAAAAACACGTATGCTGGTAGTTTATATCTAAAAGTTTAATATCAACTTTAATTCACTTTAATCTCAAAGGGATATAAATATCTCTTGAAGTAAAGTGGAGGTTATTTTTGTCAACTAGTTTAAGAGTTTAAAAAGCATATTTAATCAAAAACCTTTATTTCTTTACAAAACTACTCCTTTTTGACTATACTATAGCTTAGTATGTCTCATAGGTAATCCAACAAAAACTGGAAACTTTGTGTTTAATTAAAATTTCCACTGAATATTTTTAGTTATATTAATTTTTATACCTATAATATGTTTTTCACAACATCTGAGGTCAGTAGATTTTCTTTAAAAATATAGGCTACTAAAAATACCCTTTATATTCCTGTCATATCAATATTTTAGAGCAGTAGCTTCATCTGTAAAGCACTTTCTGACCCTGTTTTGAAAAACACTTTAAGTTGATAATTGTTATTTTACATTGCCTATTATAAAGCACCAAAAAACTTAAAAAAAATAAAAATATCACATTAGCTCTGAGCCAAAATATCTTCTTCGCTTAAGTAGAAAGATGACTATTTTCCTGTGATGGTACTTTATACTAATGAACACATAGAGTGAAGTCATTTCATGTTTTTATTTACTTAAATCTTTTTTCTAAATCGGCATAAAAAAAAGATATTTGTCTGAAAAAGAGATTTAACAGAATGTGAAATATAATCTAAAAATACTTCATTAGTAACCAGAGGGTGACAAGATAGATTCTTGTTTCACACAGTCCATGATTTCAACATATTTTGATTCTGAGGTAGAAAAAAAAATTGATAAAAAATAACAAATGCATCTATATTTCTATTTATGGGTTTGGATGCACGCAAAAGGACTGTGCTCAGTTGTGCTGTATTTTAGTCATATCTCATTAAAACTGCTTTTACAGCTGTCATTCATAATCTGATGACAGCTCTGGATGGTAATTTATGAAGCCCACTTTCATAAATCATCCATCAATATTATCTGCAAAACTGATTATTCATCATTGCAATGTAAAGCAGGATTTTCATAAAATCAGACTCTTTTTGACTGCAGGAACTTTCCCCAGGACATCTGTGCACCTTCACCTAGGGACCGGGGTCCTCTGGGGTGAAGGAGCTACCCCTTGTATAGCCCGTTTTTAGGGAGTAGTACTTTCCAGAGGCCCAGGAACTTTTGGCAGCAGGTCCTGATGTTTTATTTTACATAAAAATAACAAGTGGTTAATTTACATGTAAAATACTGATAACACACAGATGCTCACACAGAGGAGGGAAGAGAAATTCTGATTAATATCCTACATAACCCAAAGTGATAGCAACAGTAAAACTATGTCCATACATGACTTTTTCAATTCAATCACAGACCTGATATATCATCAGACAGCTT